GTGGGCAGACTGCATATTTTTGGATTGTCAGAAAGCCTTTGATACAGTGCCACACAAGAGGCTAGTGAAAAAACTGGAGATGCAGGCTGGAGTGAAAGGGAAGGTACTCCGTTGGATACAGGAGTACCTAAGTAACAGGAGACAACGAGTCAGAGTGAGGGGTGAGGTCTCAGATTGGCGAGACGTTACGAGCGGAGTACCGCAGGGGTCAGTCCTTGGACCTATACTGTTTCTGATATATGTAAATGATCTTCCAGAGGGTATAGAATCGTTTCTCTCAATGTTTGCCGATGATGCAAAAATTATGAGGAGGATTGAAACTGAGGACGATAGTAGGAGGCTACAAGATGACCTAGACAGACTGAGTGAATGGTCCAACAAATGGCTGTTGAAGTTCAACCCGAGTAAATGCAAAGTAATGAAACTAGGCAGTGGAAATAGGAGGCCAAACGCAGGATACAGAATAGGAGATGGAGTGCTTAATGAAACGAACAGAGAGAGAAAGATCTAGGAGTTGATATCACACCAAACCTGTCTCCTGAAGCCCACATAAAAAGAATAACGTCTGCGGCATATGCGAGGCTGGCTAACATCAGAACAGCGTTCAGGAACCTGTGTAAAGAATCATTCAGAATCTTGTACACCACATATGCAAGACCAATCCTGGAGTATGCGGCCCCAGCATGGAGCCCGTACTTTGTCAAGCACAAGACGAAGCACGAAAAAGTCCAAAGGTATGCCACTAGACTAGTCCCAGAACTAAGAGGCATGAGTTACGAGGAAAGGCTGCGGGAAATGCACCTTATGACACTGGAAGACAGAAGAGTAAGGGGAGACATGATCACAACCTACAGAATCCTCAGAGGAATCGACCGGGTAAACAAGTATAAACTATTCAACAATGGTGGGACGCGAACAAGGGGACACAGGTGGAAACTGAGTACCCACATGAGCCACAGAGACGTTAGAAGGAACTTTTTCAGTGTCAGAGTAGTAACGGATGGAATGCATTAGGCAGTGATGTGGTGGAGGCTGACTCCATACACAGTTTTAAATGTAGATATGATAGAGCCCAGTAGGCTCAGGAATCTGTACACCAGTTGATTGACAGTTGAGAGGCGGGACCAAAGAGTCAAAGCTCAACCCCCGCAAGCACAAATAGGTGAGTACACACACACACACACACACACACACACACACACACACCACACACACACACACACACACACACACACACACACACACACACACACACACACACACACACACACACACACACACACACACACACACACACACACACACACACACACATACAAGGTGGTATGCCACCAGACATGTCCCAGAACTGAGAGGTATGAGCTACGAGGAAAGGCTAAAGGAGCTGAACCTCACGTTCCTGGAAAAAAGAAGAGTAAGGGGAGACATGATAACCACCTACAAAATTCTCAGGGGAATTGACAAGGTGGACAAAGACAAACTCTTCAGCACGGGTGGAACACGAACAAGGGGACACAGGTGGAAACTGAGTATTCAAATGAGCCACAGAGAAAGAATTTTTTCAGTGTCAGAGTAGTTTAGTAAATGGAATGCATTAGGCAGTGATGTGGTGGAGGCTGACTCCATACACAGTTTCAAATGTAGATATGATAGCGCCCAATAGGCTCAGGAACCTGTACACCAGTTGATTGACAGTTGAGAGGCGGGACCAAAGAGACAAAGCTCAACCCCCGCAAGCACAAATAGGTGAGTATACACACGCGCGCACACACACACACACACACACACACACACACACACGTGAGTACTCACACACAGAGTTGAGAGGTATGAGCTACGAGGAGAGACTACGGGAATTAAACCTCACTTCGTTGGAAGACAGAAGAGATAGGGGGGACATGATCACTACATTCAAGATTCTCAATGGAATCGACAGGGTTAATAAAGACAGGCTATTTAACACAAGGGGCACACGCACAAGGGGACACAGGTGGAAACTGAGCGCCCAAATGAGCCACAGAGATATTAAAAAGAACTTTTTTAGTGTCAGAGTGGTTGACAAATGGAATGCATTAGGAAGTGATGTGGTGGAGGCTGACTCCATACACAATTTCAAGTGTAGATATAATAGAGCCCAATAGGCTCAGGAACCTGTACATCTATTGACTGACGGTTGAGAGGCGGGACCAAAGAGCCAGAGCTCAAACCCCGCAAACACAACTAGGTGAGTACAGAAGTGGCTGGTGGGAGCCGCGGTGGACGAGCGGACAGCACGCTTGACACGTGATCCTGTGGTCCCGGGTTCGATCCCGGGCGCCGGCGATAAACGATGGGCAGTTTCTTTCAACCTATCTCCCTGTTACCTAGCAGTAAATAGGTACCAGGGAGTTAGTCAGCTGTCACAGGCTGCTTCCTGTGTGTGTGTGTGTGTGGTTTGGGAAAAAAATAGTTGTAGTAGTAAAACAATTTGAGTGACAGTTGAGAGGCTGGCCGAAAAAGACTCATCCCCCGCAAGCACAACTAGGTGAATACACACACACACGTGAGTACATACACACACATTCCAAACAAACAAACACATACCAAACACACACACCACACATACTACACACACAAACACACCAACACAGACAATCACACAAACAAAACAAACATGCACACCATATACAAACGCACCAAACACACACCCAAACATATCAAACACACACACACAAACGCACCAAACACATATAAACACAGACAAACACTCATGCCAAACACAAATATGGCAAACAAACAAACCACACACAAAACATACTAAATACACACACCCAAACACACATCACAAACATAAACACCCCAAACACACACTATAGTAATGCTTATACCTATCAGTACTTTCTACACACACACACACACACACACACACACACACACACACACACACACACACACACACACACACACACACACACACACACACACACACACACACACACACACACACACACACACACACTTTATACGTATAAAAGACGACTTTATATAAATAGTTAGTGTCACCATTCTGTTACCAAATAAATACGTCAGAAAACGTTTTGTGTTTACTGGGGGCACCAGGACACTCACTGACCTCAGGACACGTGGCACCAGGACACTCACTGATCTCAGTACACGTGGCACCAGGACACTCACTGACCTCAGTACACGTGGCACCAGGACACTCACTGACCTCAGGACACGTGGCACCAGGACACTCACTGACCTCAGGACACGTGGCACCAGGACACTCACTGACCTCAGGACACGTGGCACCAGGACACTCACTGACCTCAGGACACGTGGCACCAGGACACTCACTGACCTCAGGACACGTGGCACCAGGACACTCACTGATCTCAGTACACGTGGCACCAGGACACTCACTGACCTCAGGACACGTGGCACCAGGATACTCACTGACCTCAGGACACGTGGCACCAGGACACTCACTGACCTCAGGACACGTGGCACCAGGACACTCACTGATCTCAGTACACGTGGCACCAGGACACTCACTGACCTCAGGACACGTGGCACCAGGACACTCACTGACCTCAGGACACGTGGCACCAGGACACTCACTGACCTCAGGACACGTGGCACCAGGACACTCACTGACCTCAGGACACGAGGCACCAGGACACTCACTGATCTCAGGACACGTGGCACCAGGACACTCACTGACCTCAGGACACGTGGCACCAGGACACTCACTGACCTCAGGACACGTGGCACCAGGACACTCACTGACCTCAGGACACGTGGCACCAGGACACTCACTGATCTCAGTACACGTGGCACCAGGACACTCACTGACCTCAGGACACGTGGCACCAGGACACTCACTGACCTCAGGACACGTGGCACCAGGACACTCACTGACCTCAGGACACGTGGCACCAGGACACTCACTGACCTCAGGACACGAGGCACCAGGACACTCACTGATTTCAGGACACGTGGCACCAGGACACTCACTGACCTCAGGACACGTGGCACCAGGACACTCACTGACCTCAGGACACGTGGCACCAGGACACTCACTGACCTCAGGACACGTGGCACCAGGACACTCACTGATCTCAGTACACGTGGCACCAGGACACTCACTGACCTCAGGACACGTGGCACCAGGACACTCACTGATCTCAGTACACGTGGCACCAGGACACTCACTGACCTCAGGACACGTGGCACCAGGACACTCACTGATCTCAGTACACGTGGCACCAGGACACTCACTGACCTCAGGACACGTGGCACCAGGACACTCACTGATCTCAGTACACGTGGCACCAGGACACTCACTGACCTCAGGACACGTGGCACCAGGACACTCACTGACCTCAGGACACGTGGCACCAGGACACTCACTGACCTCAGGACACGTGGCACCAGGACACTCACTGACCTCAGGACACGTGGCACCAGGACACTCACTGACCTCAGGACACGTGGCACCAGGACACTCACTGACCTCAGGACACGTGGCACCAGGACACTCACTGATCTCAGTACACGTGGCACCAGGACACTCACTGACCTCAGGACACGTGGCACCAGGACACTCACTGATCTCAGTACACGTGGCACCAGGACACTCACTGACCTCAGGACACGTGGCACCAGGACACTCACTGACCTCAGGACACGTGGCACCAGGACACTCACTGACCTCAGGACACGTGGCACCAGGACACTCACTGACCTCAGGACACGTGGCACCAGGACACTCACTGATCTCAGTACACGTGGCACCAGGACACTCACTGACCTCAGGACACGTGGCACCAGGACACTCACTGACCTCAGGACACGTGGCACCAGGACACTCACTGAGAATTCATTGTTTTATTTATATATAGAGGAGTTCTTACATTTTTGTACAGCCACTAGCATGCATAGTGTTTCGGGCAAGTCCTTAATCCTATGTTCCTTGAAATACGACCCGCCAAATCGTTTACCAATCAGGTACCCATTTTACTGTTGGGTAAACAGAGGCGTCAGTTAAGGACTGATGCCCAGTAAATCCTCCCCGGCCAGGTACGATCCCAGGACAAAGCGCTCACGAAACGCGAAGAGAGTGTCTTACCACTTCACCATGGGGACAACATGGTGAATGCGTTATTCATACGAGACACTTGGACAATCCGGCTGTGACTGTCGTCACAGGAAATATGGCTATACAGACCGTTCTATGACAAAAGCAGGATTGTCGTAAGAAGCTAATTGTTGTTGGTCTCGCTCACAGGCTTCACTTGTCATCTTCGACTCCTTTCCGGGGTCTACTGGCGAGTTTTTGTTGTGTCTCTTAATCAACATGAAGAAAATTATGGTGTTGACGGACATGAGACAAGCATAGAAGATGGCTTCGTGCGAGGCTCGGTGCTTGAAGGCCCCCGTGGCAGAGCTCAGGCTCGTTAGTCCTGCAAAGAGCCACAAGCCGACAGTAATTGTGAAGAGATTGGCTGCCTGCAGTGAAGACTTCATGGCCATCGGGGCCTGCGAGTAAGCAAAGTCCATGCCAGAGACTAAGAAGAGGACCTCGCCGATGGTGATGAGGACGTACTGGGGAAGGAGCCACACCATGTGGACGTTTGCAGGGGCCGTCATGGGGAAGAGGAAGACGTCGGTGGTGGTGATGACGATGTCGTACACACCGTCCTGGTACACTGCAGCCTCTCCAACTTCCACCTCTTCCACCATCACCTTGTACTCCTGGGGACTGATGCGCTGGAACTCCGTCTTTCCCTCCAGGAGTTGGAAGTTGTGGAGGATGGTGTCGTACGTGAGTGTCACGTTAAGCTCGTTGTGCGCAGGCACCAACACCCGCACCTGTCAGGGCGAACCAACACAACTGAACAACACCAGGAAACCAGGCCATAAATTTTACAGAATATTTATTTTTTAGGAACCATCAAATAATATTAACAATACCAGTATTAATATCAGTAATGAGAAAATCACTCTAACAGAGCGGGGATCAACACAACATCTTGGTGAATGCCAGAGTATCTAAAACTGGAACTGAGATCAGAATGTTGTGGTCAGAATCAGATTTATATTTTGTACCAAGATAGACAACAACGGCACTTTCCTGGACCGCGGGAGATTACACCCTTTCCCATTTTAATCCCTCCCTTTCCACCCAAGAAGAAACTTAGAGATCAGCCCAAGCTTCGTCTTGAGGCAAAGCTCAACGACTTAAGCCATAATGATGCTCTGTCCACAGAGCATTCTCTCTCTCTCAAATCATATAAACTGATGGTTCCCTACACCGCACCACGGGTGCAGCTGGAAGTGCAGTTGTCCTGACAATGGACGATGGCTTATATTTTGAGTGGGAAGTCCGCATAAACCACAGATCCTCTACCCTTTCAGACCGAACTATTTGCCTTGCTTCTTGCACTGAAATGTGTACAAGTCTCCAAATTTAATACATTAACTGTAAGTGACTCTTTATCATCCTTAATTCTATTAAACTTTATAATACAGAACTGTAACGTGCTCGTTTCTGAAGCTAGACACATATACAACAAAATTATTAATAATGGTAACAGAGTCCATTTCATGTGGACTCCATCTCATGTTTGCCTCCGAATGCATGATAGAGCTGATGAGTTATCCAAAGAATCTGCCTTAAAAGAAGAAATTGAGTATAACCTTGGATAGTCAATAAGCAGCCTGAGAGCAATAGTACACGAAGAACTTCAACAAAATCTTCTAGATTTGTGGCAAAGTGAAATCGACACCAGTAATTCCATCTATCATGCAAGAGGAGCCACACATCTATGGATCATCCAATAAAATCAGCAGGCTTCTAGATGTTACTACTTCTCGGCTTAGAATCAGTATCTAAGTACAAGTATCTCTGGGAATTCTCATTATCTGCTGATGTAGACCCAACCAAATGTAAACTGTGTCAACACAATTATTATCACACCCTCCGTCACTATGTGATGGAGTGCAAAAAGATACTTGAATTCAGAGACAATTCTATGAAAAATGTTCCAGAGATGTATAAATATTTCATTCCAAATTATCTGCTGCCAGAAGTCTTTGTCAAATCTCCCCAGTTTGCTAACTGTAGGTAGTAACTAAGTGATTATATCCTATGCACCGCTGTCCACTGGATAGGGGGCGGTGTGCAGGACAAACATATCAATTATGACACTAGCTTCCTACATATGTCAGTTGCTTAATTTAGAACCTGTACTTGTGGTCGGTCTCGAGCCCATTGATAATGTGACGATGTGCAATGAATTATGTAACTAGCTCATCAAGATTGTAACTTGTTTATCTAAATGAATTATGGGGTTCAGGCCCTGAGCCCATTATGTGCCTTTGTAACCCTTTTCCCTACCGACCCAACATAGGTATGGGGTGCATAATAAATGAACTAACCTAACTGACAGACGTGCGCCATACCCCTGAGCCATTACATGCACAAAAGATATTCCTTCAGACGCTACTGTGTCCTCTAAGGAGTCTGCTGCTAAGGAAATTGTTGTCTCAAACAGTTTTTATGAAGAGCCCGCATGCACTCTGGAGTGAGTGTGGAGTTCTCCACGAATTTTCTCCCTTCAAATACACAAGGAAATCACAACAGCGTGATTTATCAATAAGAAAATCCCTGGAGCCGAGCGGAGATTGAACCAGCATCTTAAGATGTTGGTTCAACACTATCGACATTCACCAGCAACAATGCAACACTCAACGAGTCTAGACGTTACAGACATCTTAAGATGAAGCAGCATCTTAAGATGAAGCAGCATCTTAAGATGAAGCAGCATCTTAAGATGAAGCAGCATCTTAAGATGAAGCAGCATCTTAAGATGAAGCAGCATCTTAAGATGAAGCAGCATCTTAAGATGAAATAGCATCTTAAGATGAAGCAGCATCTTAAGATGTTACGGACCCGAGTCCAGCGGCGGAGCAGTGACGACAACGCCATCTGTGAGTCCGCTCCCGAAACCCACTCCAAATGGACAACGCCATCTAGTGAGGACGGGATATACCGGCCACAGGTGCTGGATTCCCGTCTTAAACAGCTCATAACATAGCCGCTGCTGACCTCTGGTGAGGTGGTGCTTAGACAGCAACGCCATCTATGGAATGAAGAGGTGGACGTTTGTGTCTAAGCCTGTAAGTGAGGTTCCCTAGAGCGTCCCAGTATGAATGACGTGTCTGATTGCAGAGTCGACCTGGGACTGCTGTGTTGGACGATGGATCAGTTTACCCAAGGCAGCCAAGGTGTCTTCACCAGTCTGCTTTGAAGAAGCTGTGAGTCACCCCTGGACGAACTCTGTTGTGAGTATTAGTCTGCCTGTGGCGTGGCAGTGTTGGGAATCGCCTTATCCGGGGCTGGCTGGTGGAAGAGACTAGCGACTGTGGTGCTTAGTGAGGAGAGTGATCAGCGGGATCACACGAGGCTCCAGCCTAGGGCTCGCAACCCTAGTATCGGTCGTGGAGTGGCCTACACAGCAGAGCTGATCGGTACCTGCCAGCTACAGGCTGGATTGTGGTTGAAGGCCTCCACGACGAAGCACCCAGTGGGACTGTGATTTGGCTGGCCTATGGCCAGGGTAGATTCGTCATAGAATCATAGTGAATTCATCGTGGGCCACGGAAGAAGGAACCAGGGCTACCCAGAGTGAGCACCGTCGAGCATCCAGTGTCTTCGGAGGAAGATGAACCTGAACATAATTGTGTAGTTATAATCCTCGCGTGTGACTGTTATTTATTTATACATGGTGGTGGAAATATATATATTTATAAATTGGAATATTTGTATCCCTCCCCCTTTAATTTAACTTGCGTTACGGAACACACCCCTTGAAAGCCTCTACTAACTTGGGGCCGGATTCCCAAACTCTACTACCATCAGAGAAGAACCCGGTTGCGTCCCAGTAGGGCCGTAACAAGATGAAATAGCATGTTAAGATGAACCAGCATGTTAAGATAAACCAGCATCTTATGATGAAGTGACATCTTAAAATGAACCAGCATCTTATGATGAAGTGGCATCTTATGATGAAGTGACATCTTAAGATGAACCAGCATCTTAAGATGTTGGTTCAATCCTAGCTCGCCTCCAGTGATTTTATCACTGTTAAATCACGCTATTGTGATTGTCTTGTGACTATCAAAAATAATAGTAACAAAACCATTAATAACGCTACTTAATAGATCTGTAATATAAGGCTCTTCTCTATCAGTCAAAAATATTCTAAAACTTGCTTAATAAATTTACGAGGATGGAGAAAGTTGTAAAAATCTCATTTATGAAAATGTTTCAGTATTTGTAAAAGTAAAAATATTGCTAGAATATTGTCGTACTCTGAACTGTGTTGTGAAACATCATACTCGCCCGTTGTTGTGTTTTATTAATGTATTTTACAGTTGACTTGGCGTTATGGTGACACTTTATGCAGTGAGACACTTTACAGTTGCTAGTTACTTGAAATGATTAGTGCTGAATCTTTAGTAAAGTCTGCTCTCATTGTTGGCATTTAACTTTTTAAAGCTAAGAAACTGAGAGGAAATGATTGGGTACGGAGACTCACTTTGGTGTCGGCATCTTCGTCCTTGATGTACTCGAGTGTGGGAGGGAGAGCCAGCACGCCAGTAGAGGTGACAAGGAGTGTTGTCTCATGGGCACCCAGCACCCTCACTCTCACCTGCCTCATGTCTGGGGCGAGGCAGGAGGCTATCACCTTGGCCTCCACCTCATCACCATATGTGACAGTCAAGCTAGGCAGAACCACCTGGCCTCCGCTCTCCACACTCAGCTGACCAGACTTGACGAAGGGCACCTCCACCACCATCTGGCAAGGCAGTGCGTTGTAAACGTGGATTCTCGCCTGCTCTGGTGGAATGAAAGTCTGTTCCACACTCATATTCACCAGTGCGTAGACCAGGAAGGCGATGATGATGAAGCACATCCCTGCGATCATCCGGGATGTGGTCTTGGTGAGGACGCCAATGCGGGCCAACAAGGGGTAGCCCACAAAATCAAAGAGCGGAATTAGAGCTAAAACGAGCAGTGACATGGCAGTGGAAGACATTTCTGGCGGGATCCTATAGCTGCCCACCATGCCGTCGAGACGTTTAGCCTGGAATATCATACCAGTGGAGGTGTGGTAGTAAAGAGTATTGTAGAGCGGGAAAGTGCAGAACAGCAGAAGGACACGCAAGGTCACCTTCACGTCCAGCAGCAACTGAGCGTCAAATTTGTCCTGAGCACGGTCAAGCCAGTGCTGCACAGGCTTTCGGTCCTTATCCCAGGTCTTGGTGACCGCGTATGCAATGCAGCGAACAGCTCTTATCATCATTTTGTCTAGGGGTCCCTCCTTGTACTGCGACCGTCCTGTAATATTACAAAAACATAACAACTAATAGAGATAATGTGAGAGAATTAAAACACGCAGATATCACATTAACGTGATGTATATCAACGAGAAAATTCACGAGGAAAATGAGGTGGACACGAACCTACGACCTTGGCGTTGTCAAGCCTCATACTCAACTACTAGACCATCGCTGACGTGTAAAAGCCATACATCCGAATTTCTACTGAAATCACAGGAAGTATGGAGGCCCCTACTGAAGCCAGTCCAAGTTTTACGTATAACCCACAAGCACTCAGGTAGTAGGGAAGAGTGGTCCCACATCTTATACATTTGCGTGTTTCTGTGGTGCTACGTACGACCCACAAGCACTTCCTGTGATTTCAGTGAAAATCGGGTTGCATGACGTTTTACGAGTCACAGTGGTCTAGTGGTAAAATATGTGGCTTGGTAATGCTAAGATCGTAAGTTCGTGTCCTCCTCATTACCCTAGTAGATTTATTCATTTTCTGAAAGAATTAATTCCACAGCTGACTTAATGGTGTACATTGTGTGCACTACAGTAGGGAAATCAGCTTGTGAATGCAAGAGTACATGCAGTACGGTTGTACACAATATGGATGCAGAACCATACAGCACAGGAACGTAGTATACCATACAAATTGAATAGATCGAAAATAATGACCCGAAATGGTTGACATAAAAAGCTGAAGAACGTTATAGGTAGAAAGAGAACTTGGTACAAAAGGAGTAAGAATGGGGAAGTTAGTTTAGAATAAGAATTCGTACAATTGGTTAGCTTAATCGACTGAGCTACGACATGGTAAAAGAATTGCATCCAAGAGTTCTACTGAACTTATAAGGATTCTGCAGCCTCTCTGAGACACAAACCAGGGTTTTACACAATCCCCCCCCCCCCCCTCCCCGCTCAGCTCGTTGTTGCCGTGAGGGGGCTTAGTGGGCGGCTGCCGGAGTGTGATGCTCCCTGGGACAGTCCTCTGTCCTATTCTAGCCTTGTGCTCCTGCTGCCGTCCTCTCCAATTCTGCTGGGCACCTTTTCCTTTTCCTTCTGTCTCGTTTTTCTCCCCCCCTCTTCTCCTATCTGCTTGCCGTTTCCTGCCGACCTTTTGCTTGTTCTGGTTCTTCCCTTGGACTTCTTCTATTTTGACGCCCAGGTGCTTGAGGAGGCATACTCTTGCACCCGTAGAACTGTAGTACCCGACGTCGAGAGCGAGGGGAACCTTTTATTGTCAATCCCCCTTTCGTCACTGAACCCGATCTCGACGGACTGTCGGTTTCTTAAGGTGGCGTTTGTGGGGCGTATACTCACGACGCACCCCTAGGAGGCCCCGGCAAGATCGGCGATAGCTTCTTGTTGGGTGTCTTGCCTCTAATTGTGGCTCCATGGTGGATGTGGGGGCACATTCGTGAATGAATATTCTTTTTCGTAATGATGATGACCCCTGTTTCTGCTTTACCTTCTCAGGCTCGTGGGGTGGGCGACCAAGCCCCCGAGTCGGTCCGTGTTGGAAGACCGGGCTCTGTAGCCTCCGCTGCATTGGGCCCTGACCTTGCTCCTCCTTTGGCCTCTCTGACTCCTTCCCCTGGCTCCCCTCCCTCCTCTGTGGTTGGGTCGAGCCCCAAGCCCCCAGTGGTGACTACCTCGTCCCCTGGCGCAGCTCCATCTCTAGTTGTAACTACTGCGCATTTTAACCCCTCTGTCTCTGGGGGTTCTCACCGCTGTCCTCGTCACGGCCGCCCTCGCTCGATTCCTTCCAGTTCTGCTACCTATCAAGCCTTGTTTGGTCCCGCTTCGTGGGCCAAATATTTTGATCTCCTCCCTCTTGATTCTGCGCCGCCTGACGATTTCTCCCTCCATCGACATCTCGTTGATTCCGTCGATGCCTCCATTACTTTCAACCCCACTCGTCTCGGTACGTGTCGTTGCTGCTCCTTCTCAGGATGCTGCTTCCCGCTTGGCTGCCTTATCCTGCCTTGGCGAGACCCCTGTTTGGGTCTTGAAGAACGATCAGTTGAACGCCAGTGTTGGCACTATTCTGCTCCCGCCCCATGTTGCAACCGGTGTTCAGGACCTGCGCGACTGCCACGACGATATTCGACACATCCTTGCTGCCCAGGGCCATTCTATTCTCCAGGTGGACACGTTTACTCGTCCCCCTCGTGGTAGTCGCCGTCAACCCCTCCGGGTTGTGAAGATTACCTTTGATGGTAGGACCCTTCCACCCTCTGTCATTCTTGCTGGTGCCAGGTGCTCTGTCCAGGAGTACATTCCTTCTCCTCGGCTCTGTAACAAGTGCTGGAGGTTTGGGCATGGTGCCCTCCGCTGCTCCGGGACTGTCTCTCTCTGTCCTTTGTGTGGTGGCGAAGGTCACTCTAAGTCGGAGTGCACTTCTCCCCAGGCTCGTTGCCTCAACTGCGGTGAGGCCCATCCTACCTTCTCCCGTGCGTGTGTCCATTACAAGCTTGAGGCAGCTGTCCTCAACTTGAAGCACCGGGAGCGTTTATCTTTTCCTTCGGCGAGACACCAGGTTCGCCGGCTCCCGCCTTATGCTAATATCTCTTATGCTCGCGTGTTGCGCTCTTCCTCTCCTCGTCCTTCCCACCTTCCTCAGACTCACAACCATTTCCGGGCCTTTGACCCTGATACGCCCACTACCCCCTCCTCTGTTCCTTTGGGTTCTCTCCCGAAGGATCCACCTCCTGGTCCTCTGTCTGGGGTTCCCCTTCTTTCTACCCAGTCTGTCGTGTCTCCTGTGTCTTCTTCCTCGTCTCCCTCCGTTCCTCCTTCCCATCCTTCCCCTCCATCTCTTGACTCTCCCCGCCACCTGTCGGTGCGGGCTGATGTCCATCGCTCTCCAAATGGCCGTCATGTGTGCTCTCGTTCAGCTTCTCCTGTTGAGACGCTAGAATCCGTTGCTCAGTACGTGGTTGCTGGGACACCTGTCTCTTTAAGTCAGAAGCGTAAGCCTGGCTCCTCTCCTTCCTCCTCCCCGGCGGGTAAGAAGGTTTCGCTTTCTTCCTCAGCCCCTACTTCTGCCTCTCTCGCTCCTTCCCCTCCCATTTTGGTGGTTGCGCCCCGTTCCTGTTATGGAGGTTTCTTTAGCCCCTGCTTCCCTCTCGGTTGCTGCCCTTGCTGAGGTGCACTCCCCTCTTTCTACCCCCCCTCTTCCTGCTGCTGTCCTTGACTGCTCCTCTCCGTTGTCTCCTCCTCTTCCTCCTCCTCCGGGCCCCGCCCGCCCACCTCTGTTCTGTTCTCCCGTTTCCTTCCCTCCGTCTTTGCTCAGTTTACCCATGCCCCCTAACCCTGTCTTTGCTGACCCTGATCCCGACCCTGATATTCTTTAACGTGCTCTGTTGCTTTTTCGCCTTTGTTTCTTCCTTGTTCTCTGTTTTTGTCCTTTCTCTTCTCGTCGTTGTCCATTCTTCAATGGAGCGTTCGAGGTTATTACGCCAATTTCCTCGAACTCCAACTTCTGATTTTGCAGTTTTCGCCCCTTTGTGTCTGTCTCCAGGAGCCGATGCTTGGTGCTCGTCCTGGTCGTTTTCGTGGCTATTCCTTTCTCTCCCCCCCCCCCCAGCCGTTGCTCGGGCATCGAATTCTTCTGCTCTCTTGATTCGTGCTGATGTTCCCTTTGTTCCTTTACTTTTTCCTTCGCCTCTCCATTGTTCTGCTGCTCGTATCTTTGTGGGGAAATGGTACACAGTTTGTTCCATTTATCTCCCCCCGAGTGTCCCGCTTTCTCTTCCTGATTTGAAACACCTCCTAGACTCCTTGCTGGAACCTGTGCTCCTGCTGGGTGACTTCAATTGTTCTCATTGTCTTTGGGGTGACGTTCTGACGAATACCCGGGGTCGCCTTCTTGAGCCGTTTATCCTCTCTTCTTCCCTGTCTCTTCTGAATTCTGGTGAGCCCACTCATTTGGACTCTCAGACTCGCACCCTTTCTTGTCTTGATCTTTCTCTCTGCTCTTCTTCTCTTTACTTAGATTTCTCGTGGCAGGTTCTTGATGACCTCCATGGAAGTGATCATTTCCCCATCCTTCTTTCCTTTTTCTCTTTTCGCCCTTCCCTCTCTTTCCCTAGGTGGCAGTTTGCAAAGGCGGACTGGACCCTATTTACCCTTAGTGCTGCTCTCTCTGACCTCTCCCTTCTGCCTCTCTCTCGCGCTCTCCTCCTTTTTCATTACACTGTCTTCAATGCTGCCCTCCGCTCTATTCCTCGCTCTTCCTCTCGGGGTCCACGGAAGTGCGTTCCCTGGTGGAATGCGGACTGTGCTCGGGCTGTCCGCTGTAAGTGTGCAGCCTGGAAGAGGCACCGCCGTAGGCAGACGACCGATTCTTTTCTTTTCTTTCGGAAAGCGAGTGCGGTGGCCCGTAGGGCCATCCGTACGGCTAAACGTGAATGTTGGGCATCTTATGTCTCAACAATTACGTCCGAAACTCCTCTGGCCCAGATCTGGAAGCGTATCCGCAAGATAGCGGGTAAGTTCGTTCCCGATTTTTCACCGGTCCTTCACCTCCATGATACTCTTGTGGCGGACCCGTTGCAGGTCGCTTCCGTACTGGGTTCCCACTTCTCTTCTGTTAGCTCTGGTCTTCATCTTACCTAATCTTTCCTTCTTCGTAAACCTGTCCTTGAGTCTCGTCCTTTAGGTTTCTGCACTCGTCTTCAGTTTCCCTATAATGATCCCTTCTCTCTCTCTGAACTTCGTTCTTCCCTGGCCCTCTGCGGTTCTACGGCGGCGGGCTCCGATGGTATTCATTATGAGATGCTTCGCCATCTCCCTCCGTGCACGTCTCAGTATTTACTGAGTCTGTATAATCGGATCAGGGTGTCGTCGTCAGTCCCTGAGGACTGGCTCGATGCCGTTGTCCTCCCTGTTCGCAAACCGGGGTCTCTGGGTACTTCCCCTAAGGACTTTCGCCCTATTGCTCTCACAAGTTGTGTCTGCAAACTCTTTGAACGTATGGTTAACGTTCGTCTGATGTGGTTCCTGGAACACCATCACCTCCTCTCCCCTTCTCAATT